TCGTGAATCCTTTGGTGATTTGAGGCATCGAGAGAGATTAACTAGCACTGAAGTTCGTGATACGAGCCGAACTCTTACCAAATCGCCCAGGTGGTTCATTGCCATCCGATAGGAATGTTTCCCCTGGGAAGCTTCGCGGTTGTGCTCTTCAATCATCTGGAAGTTCTCCTCCCATATGGTTCTGCGGTGGTCCTCTGAGTTCCTCTGAAAAGAAGACACTTGGCTAAGAATAATGGACCACAACTTCCCCAAAAAGGACCTTAGGAGACCTTGAGGCCAGGAGAGCCCAGCTCCAGGAAATGATGCTACCAGCCAGGGTGGATTTGATTTACCGTATTTTTTGCTCTATAAGACTCACTTTTTCCCTCCTAAAAAGTAAGGGGAAATGTGTGTGCATCTTATGGAGCGAATGCAGGTTGTGCAGCTATCACAGAAGCCAGAACAGCAAGAGGATTGCTGCTTTCGCTGCGCAGCGATCCCTCTTGCTGTGCTGGCTTTTGAGATTCAGAATATTTTTTTTCTTGTTTTCCTCCTCCAAAAACTAGGTGCGTCTTGTGGTCTGGTGTCTTACAGAGTGAAAAATACGGTAAATCACATCGATTTAAACCACAATTTAAATCACTAGTCAGTAAGACTTGATTTACATCATTTTTTACTTTTTACAGAAAGACTCATTCTTGCTGGTACCGCCTTAATGTTTACAACCAGATGAAGGCTTCATTTTTGGAATAATAGATTTTCAGAGTAGTTTTTACAGTTGTATCAAAAATTACTGATTTGGTTCTACTATTGGCAGATAATTATGAAATTATGGTGAGGTTTAATAAGTTAACTGTTTATATTTGGACAACTTTTCTGCTGTGCTTTATCAGAAGGAGAAAAACTATCCTTTCCTTAATAACCATTTAAACAATTTATTTGACTAAAACAATAACAGTATAGCATATGTATCTGTGTTTGTTAACTGATGCGGTTAAGCGTTTTTATTATTAAAAAAATCTTTTAGACTGAGTTTGAGCACCCATGAAAAACTTAAAACAAATCCTTATTTCCTGATAAAATATGGACTTGAATGTAACTTAAACAGAAAGCCTTTAGAACGATTTTTCCTCCAAAAGCATCTTATTTTAAAAATCCAATTAATATTTTTTTAAAATCATTTTTAAAAAATTGATTTTTATCCCACCCTGCTAGCAGCACAATTTGGTTGCTCTAATTTCATGACCAGCTGGAGAAGGGCTTGGGGGATATGTTAAGAGGGGACTCACCTCGCGGTAAACCTTATTGTGGGTCATCTTCCAGTCTCTCCAGGCTTGGTCCAGTGCTGGGTCCCGCGCTGCAGCAAAGGTCCTCAGCAAGACCAGCCCAGTCAGGGCCACCAAAGAGATCAGATGCATGTCTACACAGGGGACAATCTAGTCAGTTGCCACTAGAAGAAAAAGGTCAAGTTGCAGGCCTATGGGGCTGGAGTAAAAAGTTAAATGAGCCCCTGACGGTAAGCCAGTCCAGGCGACTCTGGGGTTGCGGCGCTCATCTCGCTTTTGGGCCAAGGGAGCCGGCGTTTGTGCGCAGACAGCTTTCCGGGTCGTTTGGGCAGCAGGACTGAACTGCCTCTGGCGCATGGCAGAAACCAGAGTGCATGGAAACACCATTTACCTTCCCGCTGGAGCAGTACCTATTTATCTACTTGCAATTTTGATGTGCTTTTGAAATGCTAGGTTGGCAGGAGCTGGAACGGAGCAACAGGAGCTCATTCCATCACGGGGATTCAAACCGCCGATCTTCCGTTCAGCAAGCCCAAGAGGCTCAGTGGTTGAGACCACAGCACCCATCCATGTCCCTTTAAGAACTCAGAATCTGTCTCAGAATGTAGCAGCTTCCTACGTCCCTGCGTATTCTCCTAAAACCTTGTGGCCGTGAGTTCTGCCGCCTAGCAGATAACGGTGCAAAGAAAGGCCCTTTCTTTGGTCTGGTCCTGGATCTCCTCCTGATCGGTTCCATTGTAGGTGACCTCCCCGGATCTCCTGTCTCTCTCCCCCCCCACCCCCATCATTCAGCCCTGAGGTCCAGCTCCGAGGGCCTTCTGGCGGTTCCCTCCCTGCAAGAAGTGAGGTTTCAGGGAACCAGGGACAGGGCCTTCTCGGTGGTGGTGCCCTCTCATCAGATGTCAAGGAGATAAATAACTATCTGACTTTTAGAAGACACCTGAAGGCAGCCCTGTTTAGGGAAGCTTTTAATGTTTGACATTTTATTGTGTTTTTAATATTCTGTTGGGAGCTGCCCAGAGTGGCTGGGGAAACCCAGCCAGATGGACGGGGTATAAATAATAAATTATTATTGTTATTGTTACTGCTACATGCTGTAGTATCCATGCCCTTCTTTCTGGTTCGTCTCTAAAACAGTCTTCTTCCCCCTGTTTCCACCATGCACGGTGCAGCCTCAACATGTCCTACCGCTCCTTCTTAAATTCAATTAATAATAATTATTATGATGTTCACAGCCACTCTCTCAAAATGTTTTCCGCCAAACCTTACCTTCTCGCCTGAATCGAAAGATCTGGAGACTAGGATCTCGTCTGCCTCTCAACCTGCCTGGGTTCAGAATGAGCCAGAACTGCCTTTTTTATAGAGATGGAGTCCAATTCACTTTAAGTTCTTGGGAACGTGACTGAGTGGAAGTGGCGTTTCATGGTCAAAGGACGCCGTGTGCCTGTTTACTTTGCCATAACTCGGTGGGAAAAGCCGCAGCCGGGAGTTTGTGGGTGCCCAAAATCTCATCTTGCTCAAGTTCTTTTCCTACGGGGGGGAAAAAACCCCAACATCTTGTACTTATACAGTCGTTTCAAAGGTTGCAGCTGTTAGCCTTGTGAAAGGGGCAGAAGATGTCTGGCACTTGCAGGGCAGGGTATTCCTTCACCGTGACCAGTGGGGCAGATGACAGCCGCGTCACTTGGATCAGATTTAGGAATAATTTAGGAATACAGCGGTCCCTTGGTTCTCAAACTTAATCCGTTCCGGAAATTCCGTTCCAAAACCAAAGAGTTCCAAAACCAATGGGCGCTTTAGAAAGCAACGCAAAATGGATCAATCCATTCCAGATTTTTAAAAACAACCCCTAAAACAGCCACTGAATGTGGATTTTACTATCTAACGAGACCATGGATCCATAAAATGAAAGCAATAAACAATGTACTGCAGTCACACAATCCATCTATCTATCAGTAGCTGAACTGGGTTCCACGCAGTCGCAAAAAACAAACAAACCGGAAAAGCTGCAAAAATGAAAATGCAAAATAAATAGCAACAACAGACAGACCTCAGCACAACATTCAAGATGGAGCATATTTGGCTTCCAAAAAAAGTTTGCAAACCGGAACACTTCTGGGTTTGCAGTGTCTGGGTTCCAAGGTGTCGTGAGTACCAAGGTACCACTGAAATTCCATTATATGATAAATGTCTCCATGCAATAACTCCTGCCTCACAAAGGGAGAGGGGATGTGATAAACTCTAAGATTGTCCTTGAAAATCAGATGGAATCTTTGCCCGGACCGCAATGAGGGATGCAAAGAGGGCCTGTTCTTTTGCGCAAAGAAACAAAAGAAGCCGTCTCTCCTCTTTTTCTTACACCTAGTCCGGGGTCTTCTGTAGCTCTGGGTCACAGAGGACATTCACCTCTTCTGTCAAAGTCCCTTCTCTCCCCAAATGCAGAAATGGACGGTTCCAACTTCCTCCTGTTTGGAGCGTATGTTCACTATGCCGTAAAACTTTAACGCATGTGGCGTCACCCAAACCGTCCTGGGAACTGTTCCTTGTTACGGGTGTGGGAACTGCAGCTCTATGAAGGGGCGAACTACAGTTCCCGGGGTCCTTTGTGGGACACTGTGTGCTTTGAGCATGCTTTGAGTGCAGGGCCGGGTTTAGGTTTGATGTGGCCCTCAGCTCCTGAAGGTAACGGGGCCCTTTCTATGTCCAGCTGTCCTTTGTCCACAACAAATGGCCCCTGTTCTTTTGTGTTGAACACCGTATTTTTCGCTCCATAAGACGCACCTGACCATAAGACGCACCTAGTTTTTAGAGGGGGAATGCAAGAATTTTTCTTTTTCTTTTAAGGGAGCGCTGAGCAGAGCCTGTATGCATGTGTGTGGCGCTTGCAGGCTTTTCCCCAGGAGGGCGGGCTTTTCTACGAGGTGAGAGAAGGACAGCTTACAAGCCAGGGCACACTGGCAATTTCTGCTACGTGCCAGTATGTGCCATTCACTTCAACAAGTCCTTCAGGAAGTCATTATTAATTGCGGGAGGTTGAAGCGATTTGGCTATTTTTGTTTGGTTTGGTTAGCAATCGCTGTAAATGGAAACCACGAGTCGATAAAATTATCGCCTTGCGCCATTTTTCAGGGAAGCCTATTGGTACAGCTCAGCCGTTCTGATAACATTAATTCCCACACTTTCGCCAGCCAGCCTTGGGGGTGAGGTCTGCCTGGGATTTGCACGTTTCCGGCGACTTCTGTTTCAGAGACCGTAGCTAAAAATACTACTGTGCGAAGGAGGCAGTCATTTAAATTTAGGGAAGCTTTCTAATGTTTGATGCATTCCTGTATTTTAAGATTTTGTTGGAAGCCGCCCAGAGTTCCGGTACTTCCGGGTTTCGGCGGGTCCATAACCCAAAAAACCGCAACCTGAAGCGTCTGTACTACTAGGACTGTAGTAAACACAGGTCAATAGAAGATATTTTCGCTGCAAGACTTGAACTCGAGCCCATTTCATTGACAGCAGCGGATCAAAGCAAGAAACATTCGCTCAAAGCGCACAAATACATGGTTTTTATTGTTTTGAAAAGAACCAAATTTGAAAACTTGACATGCAGCCTACGGAGTTGGATTGGAGAACTTGATTTTTTTGCTCTGTCCGGAAGCCGTGGAGAAAGGAGGAGGAGAAAGGAAGGAAGGAAGGAAGGAAGGAAGGAAGGAAGGAGGGAAGGAGAAAGGAGGAGGAGAAAGGAGGAAGGAAGGAAGGAAGGAAGGAAGGAAGGAAGGAAGGAAGGAAGGAAGGAAGAGGCTCAATAAATGCTGAGGTTTCGCTGGTCCTAACTGCATGGATCCAGTAGATGAGGAAACGATGGCTGGTTAGAAGGGATAACTTGCACCCTCTGCTATTCCGCAGAGGTTCGCTCCTTTCTGCATTTTCATGTAGCCATCTTCACCCCAAGCCGAGCCCCAGCTGAGGGAGGGAAATAGGAGAGATGGTGAGAGCCTCTTCAGCAGAGGCCAGCAAACATTTTCAGCAGGGGGCCGGTCCGCTGTCCCCCAGACCTTGTGGGGAGCCCTCTTTCTCACCTGTTCTTTAGGATCCAGTAGTCAACCAGTCTCTGGCCGTTATGTCTCTCGAACCCATAGCCAATGGCCAGCATCGCATGGTCTAGGTGGTCGCCGCATTGGCGGTTATTGTAGATTCCTGGCAGAGGAGGAAAAACAGAGTACATGGCTCTGGCACGTTGTGGAACAAGTGTCTATTCCAGCAGAGAGGGAACCACCAGAAGGCCCTTGGAAGAGGGACCCCGGTGTCCGGGGTGGAGACGCTCCTTCAGGTATACAGGGCTGAGGCCCTTTAGGGCTTTCAAGGTCAGCACCAACACTTTGAATTGTGTTTGGAAATGTCCTGGGAGCCAATGTAGGTTTTTCAGGACTGGTGTTATGTGGTCTCTGCTCCCAGTCCCCAGTCTGGCTGCCACATTCTGAATTAGTTGCAGTTTCTGGGTCACCTTCAAAGGTAGCCCCACGGAGAGCGCATGGCAGTAGTCCAAGCGGGAGATAACCAGAGCATGCACCACTCTGGCCAGACAGTCCGCGGGCAGGTAGGGTCTCAGCCTGCGTACCAGGTGGAGTTGGTAGACAGCCGCTCTGGACACAGAATTAACCTGTGCCTCCATGGACAGCTGTGAGTCCAAAATGACCCCCAGGCTGCACACCTGGTCCTTTGTGGCACAGTGACCCCATTCAGGGCCAGGGAGTCCCCCACATCCGCCCACCCCCTGTCCCCCCAAAACAGTCCTTCTGACTTGTCAGGATTCAACCTCAATCTGTTAGCCGCCTCCAGACACTCACCCAGGACCTTCACCGCCTTCACTGGTTCTGATTTAAAAGAGAGCTGGAGCAAATTCCCTTTGCGTGGCCATACACAATATTCCCCAAAACCTCCTGCATTGATTACTACTCTGCTTCCAAAGCTACCTAGTGGTTTTCTTCTCATCAGTCTCATCGTTTCCCAAAAGGGCACCTTACCGTGACTGTAAAACTGGAAGTCAAAAGCGTTTACTCCAACAGAAACCGGGCCCTCAAATGCCACCACTTTTTCCAGGACCCTCTCGTTTCCGGCTGGAATGTTTACGTAGCCCTTGCATCTTGCTGCAATGTCCCATTTCTTGAAACGACAGCTTCCGTTCTGCAAAGAGACAACAGAAAAAGGCTTAAACTCTTTTGTAAATTGGGAACGTTCTCTATCCGAACGGCGCAGGAGAGATAGAGAAAGGATCAGTGCAATGCAGGAACCTTTTGCCCGGACATCAAGGCAGTGATGATACATCGGGCTAGAGATCAGGGGTATAATATCCAACTTCCATCTTGGGAAAAGTGATGGAAAGAGGAAAGGAAATTGACTGCCTGCTCTTCGCCGAAAGAAAACTATAGGAAAATGACGCGTCGTTGGTATCTAACACCGAGTAGAATTGCAGAAATGTACAAAACGAGTTCAAATCTGCGGTGGAATCTCACTTCTTATACAATCTTTTTGGACTTCTATCAGCCCTTCTGATGATCCTCCGTTCTTATCACTTATTCTGCATTTCTTAGATTCCTATTGCCTTTAGCTATCTTAACTAACAGTCCCCCTCGTTACCTTTTTTTTTTTGCAGTATTTCAAATAGTCCACCTTACAAAACTTCTCGCAAACCTGCAACCGTTTTCGGTTTCCAAACGTTTCGGAAGCCGAACGGTCTTCCGTTTTCGGGTTACGTTCGAAAACCGAGGTTCCACCTTATCATAGCTGTCAACTTACAGATTTGAAAATAAGGGACCAGCAGCCTCGAAAATAAGGGATCAGCAGCCAAAATAAGGGATCAACAATTACTTTGATAAAATACATATTTTGTTGCGTGCAAATGGCTTTAGATACCTATTAGGTCCATCAATTACCATATAGCATATATTCAACAGAAAAAAACAGCAACAATTAGTTGTTGACAAAGCAAGCTGGACATAGAAAGGGCCCCATTGCCTTCAGTAGCTTATTTAAGGGACATCATCAATAAGGGACAGCAGCGGGACATGGCGCTGGGATAAGGGACTGTCCCGCCAAATAAGGGACGCTTGACAGCTATGCACTGTATACGGTTCAACTGTGAACATGCACGGCTGTTTCGTTGGGACGTGGCTTTAGGATAGAAACGAGAGAACAGGAAGGAAGGGAGGAGAAAGGAAAGGTGAAAGAAATAAGGTTTTCTTTAACCTTGTGCCCGTGACTACAACTACAAAAATGGCAGGCCTTGCCTGCGTTATTTACCTCCGCCTCATAGGGATAGGTGTGCTCAGAGTTGATGCCTTTTCGCTTCACGTATTCAAAGGCGTTGCTCGGCAAGCCTCCGTGGCAGCCCTCGTTTCCCTCTTTCCTGGAGCAGTCTATTAGGTTTTGCTCGCTCAGAGACACCAGCTGCTTCGTCTTTTTGAAATGCAGGGCTTCCAGCGCTCCCGTGGCACTGAACGCCCAGCAGCTGCCACAGTGGCCCTGCAGGGAAATAAGCAGAGAGGGACCGTTGGGTGTCAAATGCGGACGTTGAAAATGAAATACAGTGGTGCCCCGCAAGACGAATGCCTCGCAAGACGGAAAACCCGCTAGACGAAAGGGTTTTCCGTTTTGGAGGTGCTTCGCAAAACGAATTTCCTATGGGCTTGCTTCGCAAGACGAAAATTTCTTGCGAGTTCCTGCAGGGTTTTTTTCCTCCCCCCCCCCTTTTCCCCAAGCCGCTAAGCCGCTTAACAGCTGATCGCTAAGCCGCTTATCAGCTGATCCGCTAAGCCGCTTAACAGCTGATCCGCTAAGCCGCTAAGCCGCTTATCAGCTGATCCGCTAAGCCCGCTAATCCGCTAAGCCGCTAATGGGCTTGCTTCGCAAGACGAAAAAACCGCAAGACGAAGAGACTCGCGGAACGGATTCTTTTCGTCTTGCGAGGCACCACTGTACCACCATTTCCAGAAGGAGGTCTTGCGGGTGGGAGTGGGGAGGGCAGTATGAATGAACAAACGAATCTTTATTTGCGTCAGCCGTCAGCCATCGCAATAAAACAACAATACGATATACAAAGAAAAGAAATGAAAAGTCAGTTGTATAAAATACATTTAGGGCTTTGAATCAATGGTCAAATAGTGAATCTTATTCTGATTGCCCCAAATTTTGTTCTGCCAAAAAGATTATACATACAGTTGCCTCGCGAGTCGAACGTCGCAAACCCGGAAGTGAGTGTTCCGGTTTGCAAATTTTCTTTGGAACCCAAACGTCCAACACGGCTTCTGATTGGCTGCCGAAGCTCCCTGCAGCCAATCGGAAGCCGCGCCTTGGTTTCTGAACGTTTTGGAAGTCAGACGGACTTCCGGAACGGATTCCGTTCGACTTCCGAGGTATGACTGTAATAGATATATATATGTATGCCAATAAAGGTGGCAGGGGAATCTGCAGACATTTCTGCTTTTGAAAACCAATCGGTCAAACTTTAGAAACAAGCAAATAAACACATCGCAGTATCAAACTGCAAGCCTTTGACGTGGACATCTGAATCTTCACCTGTGGCCTTCAACCCACCTGGTCTTTCACTGGGGTCACGTAACCTCTTGTGCGCCAGTCCACAAAATCGGGAGACTGCCATTGAGAGAATTTCCTGAAGAACTTTGCGTTGTCGTTGCGTTGTCCGGTCTGGTTAAAGCGCAATCCGGTCATCTTCTGCTTGAACTCTTCCTCGGTCTGGGGAAGAGACCAAAGTCATCAGCGCAAAATCATCAGGAGTTGTGTGTCGTCGTCCCCGAACTCATCCTGTGTCACGGATCAAGCAATGAGCCGGTCAAGCCCTTAGTGGACATGTCGCCTGGCTGTGCTGGAAGTTTTGGGGTGCAATCCTAACCCTCGACCCACTAGAGTGAGCAAGAGATGACATGTGTCAGAGACCAGGCTGAGGATTCCAGCTCTGGCGAGGAATGATGGGAACCTTCCCTTTGCCCGCTCCTGACCAGGTTCCTGAAGGTGCCCAGGAAAAGCGGAGCAGTATAGATTTAGAGCCTTGGTTTGCAGAGGGGCATAGTTCAGAAAACAAGAGCTCGGCAGAGCTGAGTTGGGAACAGCTAGGAGAAGAACAGGAAGAGAGAGATAACTGACGGAGGTGACCCAGGGGGGTCACGAGAATTCTGGGATATAATATACAATCAACTTCAAATGATTTTAACATTCTCCTTCCAAAAAAAACCCCAGAAGCCTTTCGGTTAGGCAACATGTCGATTGAAATACAAAAATTCTATAGAACCATCTTTGTGTACACGACTATGGCAGCTAGAATCCTAATAGTAAAAAACTGGAAAGGTGACTTAATTCCCAAAAGCTCGACTGGCAGGTGAAGAGGATAGAATCTTTGGAACTTGCAAAAACGGTATTGCAAAAATGCAGATCTCCTGACAGGTTTAGATTGAATCTTGGCTATTAAGGTATGCTAGAAACTTAGAAATTTCTTTGTGATATGCAATAGATATAACAGGAAGTGCTTATAGGCTAAGAATATGTAGAAAGCACAATAAAGTGAATCCGAAGTCAAAAGTGTGTGTGACATATGAAGGCAGCCCTGTTTAGGGAAGCTTTTAATGCCTGAAGTTCTCTTATTCTGTTTTTAGTGTTCTGTTGGGAGCCGCCCAGAGTGGCTGGGGAAACCCAGCCAGATGGGCAGGGAATAATAATAATAATAATAATAATAATAATAATAATAATGCTGCAAAATAAGCTAACGCTATTCTAGGCTGCATCAACAGAAGTCTAGTGTCCAGATCAAGGGAAGTCCTAGTCCCTGAGAGAATGGAGGTGTTTAGAAGTCAACTGATTGAAAGCTGGAGCAGAAGACAAGCAGAATGTCAGAGTTTGGGCACAGCCAGTTTGGGCCGAGGGAGACTTAGCCGCCCGCGGTTCCCACGATACGCGTTTGCTTACCCAGTCCCCAAACCGGTTCATTGCCAGCCTATAAGTGTGTTTTCCCTGGGCAGCCTCGCGGTTGTGCTTTTTGATCTTTTCCAGGTTGCTCTCCCACAAACTTCTGCGGAGATACTCTTCCCCCTGGAGAGAAGACGAAATTGTTAAGGCTGCACATCATATGCGACCCCCCGCCCGGGGGGGGGGGCGGTTAGTAAAGCAAACAGTCTAATTTGTCAGCGCCTAAATGATATCGAGCGTCAGAACAACTTGGCCACAATAAGGAGATCTTGCCCATGGCATGACTATTTTCCACCTTCCCATTTTGACTCTCTGGAACCCTCTCTGCATAACCCAGCAATTCTAAAATATAGACACGCTTTTACTCTTGCAAGACTGAATGTCTTGTCCTCGGCTGGACTTGAGGGACAATGCCAACAGATGCCACACAAAAAACGTCCCTGTGGAGATGGCCGTCTCGAATCGGTGGCACATGCCCTTCTGGCCTGCCCTCTTGATAAAGACTTGAGGAATGAGATTATCACCCCTCTTTTATCGTCCATTCCGGGTCGCCCAGCCACTGCCCCAGGGTCCTTTCTCCTGGCAGATCAAGATAGGAGAGAGAGAGAGAGAGAGAGATAAAGTGTGAGAGAGAGATGGAGGAGAGAGAGAGAGAGAGAGAGAGAGAGAGATGGAGAAGAGAGAAAGAAAGAAAAAGAAAGAAAGAAAGAAGAAAGAAAGAAAGAAAGTGTGAGAGAGAGATGGAGGAGAGAGAGAGAGAGAAAGACAGAGAAAGAGAAAAAGAGGGAGAGAAAGAGAGAGAGAGGAAGAGGGAGAGAGAGAGAGAGGGGAGGGAGAGAGATGGAGAAGAGAGAGAGAAAGAAAGAGAGAGAGAGAAAGTGAGAAAGAGAGGAAGGAAGGAAGGAAGGAAGGAAGGAAGGAAGGAAGGAAGGAAGGAAGGAAGGAAGGAAGGAAAGAGAGTGTCCTTTCTCTTGGCAGATCCAGATGAGCAGGTGATACAAAGGTGGCAAGGCTTTTTAGCTGGGGCAATCAGAATTTGCTATGGCCGGCGGCTGACGCAAATCAAGATTCATTCATTCATTCACCCCCCTCCCCGGCTTGAAAGCCACCACCAGTTTGCCACTGGACCTGAGTGCCCGGAAATGGCCAGGATTTGTCTGCTCTGGGATGCAGTAGGACTGGAGAAGCGACTGCCTCTGAGCATGCGCAGTTTTTTTTGCAACCTCGAGCTCATCTTGTGTTAGAAGGCAGGAGAGTTCCCTTTGAGCCCCTTTTTCTGGCTAATGCAAAGGGCATCTTTCTGCCTATGGGCTGCACTCCCTATAGATCCCAGAGCGATCGCCTTGTTGAATCCAGCGAGACTTTTGGGACTCCAAAATTTCAAACCCGGCGCAAATACTTAGTTACCGTAACTTGATTCCCAAAATGGTACTCTGTACATGCTCAGGAGAACATGGCTCAGGTTGCATAGGTTTCGACGCAGAAGCAAGGAGCAAAACTCACCTTGGCGTATATTTTCGAATGGGTGCTTTGCCAAAGATTCCAGGCATTGTCGAGGGCAGGATCCTGCGCTGCGACGAGGGGTGTCAGGAAGACTAGCCCGGTCAGGGCCACCACCCAAAGATGAAGCATGTCTACCTAGGAGACCAAAGCGTCGTCACTCAATATTTGCTTCCCCCCCCTTAGGACTCATTCATATTTGCAGCGAGAAAAGTCAAAAGTCAAAAGCCAGTTCGTCTCCTCTGGAATCATCCCTGTCAATTTTATTTATTTTGCTAGTGGGCCGCTGGGATTTCTAGTGGCCAGGAGTTCCACAGTTGGTTTGTGCATTTAAGGAATGCTTCCACTCCATTGCCTAATGATTTCCGCTTATAGCATGTGGACAACTGGGGCGATATTCATTTCGCCTCTTTTCAACTCCCTCTTTTGAAACAGCCAGTTCTGAATAACGGAAACAAACAAATTCTGCGTCTGTCGCAGAATTGGGCTCGCCGTTTCAAACGCCGGCGTCAAAATTCAGCATAGCCCCCACTCCCCTGCTTAAAGGCTTGTTTCTGAGCCTTTTAATGTTGTATTTTAATCTTGTTTTTTAAGTTGTATTTTAATCAACTTGTTTTTATTATTGGTTGTTAGCCACCCTGAGCCTGGTCTTGGCTGGGGAGGGCGGAGTATAAATAAAATTTATTATTATTATTAGCCAATGAAAACAAAACCCACCACTTGGGATACAAATGCTAATATTTAATATGAAGTATTTGCCTAACACACTCCAGAGACTGTCTGATATCAACAGGGGGAGAGTCTTTTTTCGCGGGGAGGCGATCATTTCAATTTTAACCTCGTCCCAGATAACCCCCCCCCTTGAATCAATGCCCCATGTCATTTATTGTTTGCTTCTTAGTTGGTTGATAAAAATATCATGTGGCAGGGAGTTCCACAGGAGGGTCTTAAATTTCAGGAGGCAAGTCCTTCCGCCTCTTTTCAACCCCCTGTTTTGAAACGACTGATTCTGAATAATTAAATCGGAACGTCTCCACCCAGAACTCAGCTCCTTGTTTCAAATGCCAACATCAGAAGTCAGTGTTGCCCCAACTCACCTGCTTAAAGGGTCATGTCTGAGTGAAGAAAAATGAAATTTACCACTTGGGATATCTGAAGAAATGTTAATGTTGGAAGTCGAAGTCATTGCCAAATGAATACCCAGGCAGAGTCTGATGTCAAAAGGGTGAGAATCTTTTAACCGCATCCCAGATACCCCACCAATATTTTTTTCTCGTGTTCCCAAACTCTCTCCAATATGGCTTTCAGTTCTCCAAAATGCAACATACCTCTCTTCCTGCCAAAAGGGTCTTGTCCGTCTGTCCTTGTCCTTCTGTCCTCGTCTCGTTTCTCTCTGTAGTAAAAAGCATCTCTGGTCCTCTTTTTATAGGCGAGACTCCACTCAACATCCTTCCTGCCCACAATTCCTTGTGACATTCTTGCCTCATCGATTCTGCAGAAGTCCAGAAAACCCACGAATCTCAGTGCCGGGTTCTGGGTTCATCTTTCCAAACTCTCAGATTGCACCACTTTTCTAAAGAAATAACGTTTTTCAGGGAGGGGCAGAAATCGGTTCGATTTTTTCCCATTGCCGTTATTTGCAAAATATCCGTTCAGCCTCTATTTTTTTAAAAAAAATATTTTTATTCATTTTCCATTTAATCATATATAACCACATCATTATTTCCACTTTACCTCTTTGGCCCTTTAGAGCCTGTTGACTTCCCTCCCTCCCACGGCTTGGCTTTCAAAGTTAACCTTAATATCACATCTTCTAGTAGCAGGTAGTTCCCCAGACTTGCTTGCCTGAACTGAAGTTCAATATGGATAAGAAAAGAGAGGGGTCAGCAAACTTTTTCAGCAGAGGGCTGGTCCACTGTCCCTCAGACCTTGTGGGGGGCCAGACTATATTTCGAAGAAGAAAAAAAACGAATTCCTATGCCCCACAAATAACCCAGAGATGCATTTTAAATAAAAGCACACATTCTACTCATGTAAAAACACGCTGATTCCCGGACCGTCTGGGTTGAGAAGGCGATTGGGCCTTAGGTTGCCTAGCCATGAGGTAGATAGTTAAGGTGGCTTCAGCAGCGGGCGCCGGGTGCCCCCCAGAATTCAACACCCGGGTGCCCCACACGCCTTGCACTCCTGGGTAAAGACGGCCCTGCCTGGAAATCCCTCATCTGAATCTCTCCCTTCATTCTCAACTTCTGTGTTTCTTTACTTAGTCATTCATGTTTGGTCCAGAGCCCCTCCAAGGAGCTCACGGCATCCCAAGCCCCTCCACGGATGTTCGCAACAGCAACCCTGCAATGTAGACTCAGCAGAGATCAGGTTATCACATTTCAAGACGGATATGGATGCAGATAGTGATGTATGGAAGTGAGAGCTGGACCATCAAGAAGGCTGATCGCCGGAGAATGGATGCTTTTGAATTCTGGTGCTGGAGGAGACTCTGGAGAGTCCCATGGACTGCAAGAAGATCCAACCTCTCCATTCGGAAGGAAATCAGCCCTGAGGGCTCACTGGAAGGACAGATCCTGAAGCTGAGGCTCCAAGACTTTGGCCACTTCAGGAGAAGAGAAGACTCCCTGGAAAAGACCCTGATGCTGGGAAAGATGGAGGGCGCAAGGAGAAGGGGACGACAGAGGACGAGATGGCTGGACAAGTGTTCTCGAAGAGACCAGCATGAGTTTGACCAAACTGGGGGAGGCAGTGGAAGACAGGAGGGCCTGGCGTGCTCTGGTCCAGGGGGTCACGAAGAGGCGGGCACGACTAAATGACTAAACAACAACAACAAATGGATGCAGATCATTGCGTCCTGGCGTCCAACGAACGATTATTTTTCTGCGAAGCACTCCAGTCCCTCGAAGTGGAGTAACCCATTTCCTCTTGCCTCAAGCCACAACAATTGTGTCAGTCCTCGTGGTCTGTATTGTTGTTACCCAATTTCGCATCTGCGTATACGGAACAGCTCCCTCGTGCTAAGGATGCGTTAGGCTGACGTTCTTCCCCTTGTTTTTCTCTCTTCAACCCCAAAATCGGTGCATCAGATCTCGAAGCCCTCAGCTACTTTCCTGCCTGGCAGCCAGGTGTTACTAACCTGGCGCCCTCTGGGCAGACTGCGCTACAACTCCCAGCTGTTACAGCCAGTGCCTGCTCAGTGAAATTCCCAGGAATGTGTCCCAGGATGAATGTTGCGGAAATGGCAGAAAATTTTATCTATAGGATAGGAGAGAGTAAATGTGGATGATCTCTGCTTCTCATTTTTACAGTTCTTTGTATTTTATAACAATGTACTACTGAGAATTCGGTCTCTTCATATGCACACATATATTTTGTTTGCAAAGCAATATTGCAGAATGGAATGCATTTTTGTTTTTGTGTTTTTTTTGTTTTTTGTTTTATAATAATCTTTTATTAAGTTTCACAATAAGAAAAATCCACAACAACCAAACAAAAAACAATAAAACATGACAATACATAATTTCACAATACAAAAATACAAACATTTAACCTAACAGAGAAAAAAAGAGAAAAATTAGTAGACACACAGAAAAGAAAAAGAAAAACACATATCCCTCTTTTCTAATTGTTCATTTTAAATTAACTTATTTTCCTGACTTCCTCACGCCTCTCTTTTTTGTATCCCTCTATATCAGTTAGTTCAGCAAGTTCATCCAATTTAGTTTATCCTTAATTATTTTACCTCCCAAATTCATAATTTCAAATTTTTATCTATCTTATTACTAGCACCCCTTTGTTTCATTTCAATGTCATCAGCACTCAAACGTTTTACAATATTTCTGTAAATAAATTTTAAATTTCCTCCAATCTTCTTCCACCGATTCTTCTCCCTGATCTCGGATTCTGCCAGTCATATAGTCGATTACTTGCATCTGCCATTCTTCCAGAGTGGGTACATCTTGTGTCTTCCAATGCTTTGCGACAGAATGGAATGCATTTTGATGTCATTTTCACTAGTAGGAGCACTAATATGTGCACAGTTCGCCCTTGCCTGTGCATTTGTTTGTACACATAGCTGGAATGGAGAACTCCACTGCAAAATTCAAAACAGTGCAAATTTCAAAAGATGGTTGTGCCTTTGTTTCTATATTGTTTGGGAGTGTAGGTTGGTTCACATTTTAAAATGCAGAACAAATTGAATTTCTAATCTGGGAAATGCAAACCTCACTGAATTCCACCACCATGTCCCTGCTTCTGAGTCAACCTGCGTTGGGCGGCACCGTTAAATTCCTGATTCTGCCTTTGCAGGCTACAATGTGCCCTCGAAAAACAAAACAAAAGCAAACGCACTTGCTTATATTACCTTTGCTAATTAATTCATTTCATGGTTATCTGACGCATTCTCTCCCTTATATCTCCAAATCTATGTTTCTGTTTCAAAATCTCCAAATCTGTGTTGATTTTTAAAGCACATCCTGTAACTCGAAGGAACTCAAAAAGGAAGTATCTCTATTAAATTTGTACACCTCCCCAGGCCGCAGGTCTCAGCCACAACAATTGTGTCAGTCCTCGTGGTCTGTGTTGTCGTTACCCAATTTCGCACCTGCGTATACAGAGCAGCTCCCTCGTGCTAAGGATGCGTTAGACGGACGTTCTTCCCCTTGTTCTTCTCTCTTCAACCCCAAAATCGGTGCATCAGATCTCGAAGCCCTCAGCTACTTTCCTGTCTTGCAGCCAGGCATTGCTAATCTGGCGCCCTCTGGGCAGACTGCGCTACAACTCCCAGCAGTTGCAGCCAGCGCCTGCTCAGCGAAATCCCCAAGATTTGATCGCAGGACAGATGTTGCAGGAATATTTTATCTTTTTTTAAAAAAATCATTTTTATTTGATTTGACAAATGTCAAGTTGTAACAATGCTAAATACCTATCCATATATACCGTGTTTTTTGCTCTATAAGACTCACTTTTCCCCTCCTAAAAAGTAAGGGGGAATGTGTGTGCATCTTGTGGAGCGAATGCAGGCTGCGCAGCTATCCCAGAAGCCAGAACAGCAAGAGGGATTGCTGCTTTCACTGCGCAGCGATCCCTCTTGTTTTTCTGGCTTCTGAGATTCAGAATATTTTTTTTCTTGTTTTCCTCCTCCAAAAACCAGGTGCGTCTTGTGGTCTGGTGTGTCTTATAGAGCGAAAAATACAGTATATATATTTATCTGAATATCCCATGATATTTTAGGGAGCAGGCGGGGCCCATGACTTACACCATAGGAGCCTACACAACACTAAACACTGTTGCTGGATGTAGGTTTTATTTATTTTTTATCTTGTATTTTGGAAATGTATACATCCAGTTGTTGCTTTTCCCCTTTAATTTTTTTTGGGGGGCCCCCCAAGAGAGTGGGGCCCTAAGCTAGAGCTTGTTTAGCTTATCCGTAAATCAACCATGCCCCAATCTTTTCCAAACCATTCATCCTGGACTAAGGGACTTTGTACGAGTTTCTTTGGTTGCCATTTTTTGATTTAGGCGTTCCATTTCACATCCTCCCGAAAAACCATAACTTGACAACAACGGCCCAATCCCTGCGACGAAAACATGTTTTCCCCCCTCGGCTTCTCACCAAATTGTGGGGAGAACCTAGAATTACGCAGACGGCGTTAATTATTTTTATTTAACGTTGTCACAATTCCTCTTCACCCCTTGGAGGGTTCTAAATACCAATAATCAGGAAAACGAAGAACGCAAGAAAGAACACCTGTGATTAAAACCAAATAATAATATTCATAGCTTTTCCTGGCGGGGCTGGGATGGGGAAAATGGCAATTTTGACCATGGTATATTTATCCTATTATCTGAAACCCCTGATGAAATTGGGCGGTTTGGAAATCGGGTTCTGCAAAAGTGCAGAAAGGAGGGATAATATTTTTCCGGCTGCAGATGACGTGGTTGATGTTTTTGTGTTGGCTGTTGTCGCAGGACAGCTGTGCGATGCTGATGATTAGAAGACAATTCATCAGACCTTTGCGACTCCAGGAAAACTGCTACAGCCCAGGTGATCTCATTGTCGGTGGGAATTTGCCTCTCTTCAGAGCTCTAGTCAGAAAGTTATCCTTTGAACAGTATTTCAGAGAAGGGGACTCCCCCCATTTCATGTAAGTTCTCGGCGAGGCCGAAATTGTGGATTAGCCCAGTATTTTTTTAAAGTGCAATAATAATCTTTATATCCAATTTTTATTAAATTTTCTGTGTCACAATTCAAAGCACTCCTTTTTACATCCTTAAGATATCAATGACTTACCTTCTTCTCCTTCCATGGTTCATTTTACACATTTTACAAAAAACAACAATATTCAGTATTCCGTTATTGCATCCATCAAAACTTATCTGCACTGTTGAATTTATCTTAATGCTGCCAGAGTTTTCAGCTGTACACAATTATCCCCAAACAGAAAGGACTCTGGGTATATTGGGGGGGGGGGAGTACTTTGCAACGGAGAGGAATTAGTCCCTTTTTCAAAGTTTCTAAGCACAAGTTCAACCCTTTATGATACAGGAAATAATTTTTTAAAAAGTTAAACCCCTATTACACATGATACGATATGATAATCTTTATTGTCCTTGTCCCATACAGAACAACGAAATTGAAAACAACTACATCAGACATTCAAAAACCCACAAGCCTGCTATTCCATCTATCCCAGCCTGGTTAGCCCCCTAAAAACTCTGATACCCCATAATTAAATACAATATACTCCTATAGAGACTCCCTTACACTGTGTTTAAAACCAAAATCGCATTTGGATAGAAACTGTTTCTCAGGCGGCTAGTCCTAGTCTTTATAACCCAGAAGGCAGAAGCTGAAAGAGATCATTTCCGGGGTGCGCACTATCCTGCGCTATCTCTGCCGCTTTCTTCCGGCACCTGGCAGCATAGATTTGATCTAAGGTGGGAAGAGTGCACCCCATTATTCTCTCCGCAGTCTTTACAACCCTGGACAGCATTGTTTTTTCCCTGGCCGTGCAGCTCCCAAACCGCACACACAGACCATAAGTTAATACGCTCTCCGCAGTACAATGGTAAAATGCCATCAGCAGGTCCTTTGAGAGATTGTTTTTCCGGAGGATTCTCAGAAAATGTTACTACTCTCGTTGTAGCCCCTTGCCCAAGAACTACCAGTATATTCTGGCTTTGGGTTTTGCCATCCAGGAACTCAACAAGGACTTGGTGCTTTTGCCTAACACCACTCTGGGCTTCCGCATCTACCAGGAAAGCAGTTTTGCAAACAAGCCCACGGAAACCAGCCTTGCCCTCATCTCCACGCGGAGACAAATGGTGCCAAACTACAACTGTGACAAGCAGGACAAGCTGCTGTCCGTCATTGGCAGCCTCGACTCAAAGACGTCAAGGCAGATGGCGTCGATCTTGAGCGCCTTCAAGATCCCGCAGGTAAGGAGAGAAATCGAGCAGGGTTATGGGTTCCTTCGGCGCAGGGATGCAAAACCCACGCTCTGCAAAACGGCTCCATGGCGTGTGGGCCACCTTTTCTACCGGAAAAAAACAATGCTGTCCAGGGTTGTAAAGACTGCGGAGAGAATAACTGGGTGCACTCTTCCCACCTTGGATCAAATCTATGCTTCCAGGTGCCATAAGAAAGCTGCAGAGATAGTTCAGGATAGTGCGCTACCCGGAAATGATCTCTTTCCGCTTCTGCCTTCTGGAAGAAGGTAAAGGTAAAGGTAAAGGTACCCCTGCCCGTACGGGCTAGTCTTGCCAGACTCTAGGGTTGTGCGCCCATCTCACTCTATAGGCCGTGGGCCAGCGCTGTCCGGAGACACTTCCGGGTCACGTGGCGAGCCAGAGCCGCACACGGAAACGCCGTTTACCTTCCCGCTTGTAAGCGGTCCCTATTTATCTACTTGCACCCGGGAGTGCTTTCGAACTGCTAGGTTGGCAGGCGCTGGGACCGAACGACGGGAGCGCACCCCGCCGCGGGGATTCGAACCGCCGACCTTTCGATCGGCAAGCCCTAGGCGCTGAGGCTTTTACCCACAGCGCCACCCGCGTCCCTCCTGGAAGAAGGTACAGGGTTATAAAGACTAGGACTAGCCGCCTGAGAAACATTATCCAAATGTGATTTTGGTTTTAAACGCAGTGTAAGGTAGTCTTTATGTGAGTATATTGTATTCACTTATGGGGTATCAGAGTTTTTAGGGGGTTAACCAGGCTGGGATAGCAGGATTGTGGGTTGTTGTTTTTTTCCAAAAAAATTTATTGGTTTTCACAATATTATAAACAAACAAACACATAGGACAAACATAAATCATAGCCTTATTGAAAATTACACTTATTAACTTTGTTAAGTGACTTCCCCGCTTCTCCTTGGTTGAATTTCATTGCATATCCTTTTAACGGTTTCCCAAGTCACAATTCTTATAAAATTTAACTTAAACAATAACATCCTTAAATCTTCACTTTACTAAATTAAACATATTAATTCAACACTTAACATAAATAAAATCCTAAGCCAATTAGGTATCTGCAAGCTGTTTTCATTTAGTTTAACTTAACATATTTAACTAAATAATCATTAAATTTAATCCAGTCTTCCTGATACTCCTCCTCCTCCTTCTGGTCACGGACTCTTCCAGTTAGGTTGGCTAGCTCCGAAAAATCCATCATCTTCATCTGCCATTCTTCTATCGTTGGTAATTCTTGGGTTTTCCATTTTTTAGCTAACAAAATACGAGCGGCAGTTGTGGCTTGTGGGTTTTTGAATGACTGATGTAGATTTTTCCAATTTTGTTGATGGGACAATGACAATAAAGATTATCGTATCGTATCGGAAATAAAGCCATTCCTTCTTTCAGTTCGGTTACGGCTCCCCCAAACTGGGATTTGCATCTCCTTCTTTCTATCGCATCGACCCCAACGAGATCCTTCAGTTCAAGGGTTTAGTCTCGCTATTCCTGCATTTCCGCTGGAACTGGGTGGGACTCATCGCTTTGGAGGATGACACCGGCGAAATTTTCATCCGGACTTTGGCACCGCTCCTCGCCCAGAACGACATCTGCGTGGCGTTCACGGAAAAGTCTGTGCCAGAGACCCATGTCCTTTTGCCACATTTGAAACAATGGGCGAAACAAGTTTCAAAGGTTTACAAGAGTGAGGCTCAGACGGTGGTTTTCTTTGTAGACGCCAATTCCATCAGATATTTAATGGGACCCATCACCCAACTGGTGAAAAACAAGGGGACCTCAGTTGGGAAGGTTTGGATCCTGACATCGCGGTGGGATTTTGCTGCTGCGAGATCTGCCAGAACGTTTAAGTATCTGAAACATTTCCATGGGTCCATTTTCTTCAAAATCCGCACGAGAAAAGTGCCTGGGTTCGCCACATTTCTCTCTGCTTTAGATCCATACCGGTCTCCAGAAGACGTCTTTCTCCGTGGCTGGTGGGAAGTGGCATTTGACTGTAAATTTCTGAAACCGGACCAGAACGTTTCGAAGAACCAGCGGAACTGCACAGGCCAGGAAAAACCAGAGGATCTCCCAACCTTTGTGTTTTCGACGGAGATGACCGGCTACAGTTACAGCATCTACAACGCTGTCTATTCTACGGCCCACGCGTTACATGACGCCATGTATTCAACTGGACCCAAACTTGCAATGGTGCCAGACGGCAAGAGACTTCTGAATCTCCAGCCTTGGCAGGTAACGTCTTCGCAGAACCAAGGGCAGGTGTGTTCCCCACTACAGCATGATCGACTCGCGTGCAACTGCGTATCCGCGTGGCGCCAGGAAACCATCAAATCATTGGGTTCGAACCTGGAAAAGGCAAGAGAGAGTTGGGGAGTTGGCTCATGAGAAGACCCTCTCTGGAGTCCTGAGAAGATGTCAGCGAGGGTCAAGGAAGTTCCAAAGAGCCCAGAGGTGCCATGGGGCTTTTTCTGAAAGGCTGCTCAGTCTCCCCACCTGGACCACATCTCTGATCTCCACTTGAATCCGACCCACAGCAATCTTTTCTCTTTAAGAAAACAGAGGGCAGGTCCAAAGTCAACTCATCACAATGGTTGTCTCACAATTTGTTGTTTAGTCATTTAGACATGTCCGACTCTTGGTGACCCCCTGGACCAGAGCACACCAGGCACTCCTGTCTTCCACTGCCTCCCGCAGTTTGGTCAAACTCATGCTGGTAGCTTCAAGAACAGTGTCCCACCATCTCGTCCTCCGTCGTCCCCTTCTCCTTGCGCCCTCCATCTTCCCCAACATCAGGGTCTTTTCCAGGGAGTCTTCTCTTCTCATGAACTGGCCAAAGTCTTGGAGCCTCAGCTTCAGGATCTGTCCTTCCAGTGAGCACTCAGGGCTGATTTCCTTCAGAATGGAGAGGTTTGATCTTCTTGCAGTCCATGGGACTCTCAAGAGTCTCCTCCAGCACCAGAATTCAAAAGCATCCATTCTTTGGCGATCAGCCTTCTTGATGGTCCAGCTCTCACTTCCATACACCACTAATACATCACCACAACTCTCCAGACCTGTTTCACAATCGCAGCTTGCTAAACCTCTTTCATTCCATTTCTGATTAAATTTCCAAAAGTTCTACGTAAAAGCTCCAATACCTATTTATCAATTATCATTATCAACTTCCCACCACATTTTTCCATGTTTTTCTTATCCCCACCCCCGCTTTGCCGAACCCTGTCTCCCCTATTTTTAAAATACATAGTCGTAAGGCAATAATCTTTAATCGTTCTGTCGCTCATAGTTCAAAACCTGTTGGTGGATTCTTCATGCTGTAGTATTTCTTCAAATAACCCAGGGGGAAATGCTTCCAAACACCAACAATCTCATTTTATCTGTTAGCTTTGCTGGTTCGACATAGTCCATAACTTTGCTGATCTGTTCTTCTCTACTGGGAACTTTTTCCATTTCTGAGCATAAAGAATCCTAGCTCCTGTAGTTATATACATAAACGACAATCTTCTTTGCAATTTCTATACCTGTAATCCTTAGAATAAAAGCTTCAGGATGGGTTGTTGTTGCTGCTGCTGTTTTTTGTATACTCTGTTCAAATATCTTTTTCATCTCATCACATATCATTTCCCCAAATACCCTTGCTTTTTTACAAGTCCCCCGCATATGGGGAAAAAAGAGAACCGTCTCTTTGCACTTGCAGCGGTTATTAGAAACCTTCTTATACATTTTAGATAATTTATCAGGTGTTACAAATACTATCTCATCTCTTTAATTTCAGATTCTGGCCTCTTTGAGCAAGATTCAGTTTAACAACACGGCTGGGGATGAGATATATTTTACAGAACATGACAAGAGACCGGCAGCCTATGATATTCTGAACGGCGTCTTCTTCCCCAACGGATCGTGGGCCGAAGTGAAAGTTGGAGGTTTGGATCCTCGCGCAGCCCCAGGAGAGGACTTCAGCATTAACCCCGATGCAATCGTGTGGATTACTCAGGTGCAGACAATCTGAATACTCCGTATTCATGTCCAATTATTAGGTTGGGGCAGACAGAAGACAACCTAGACGAGAGCATGGCAACGCTATTGAACCCCTTGCTTGAAAAATTGCTGCCAAATCCTTTGGCAATGTAATAGCATCCTTTGCTGAATCAAACCAATGGCTTTATTTAGTTGAAAGTTTTTGACTAAATATTGTCTATTGCACTAGATTCCATTCTCCGTAACGTAGCTAGCATTCATCCTTCTCTTCCGGTTTCTACTGGTAATACATTTTTAGCTCAAACTCTGGTTATTTCCTGCTTAGATTGTTGGAATCGCCTTTGGGTTGGTTCCCTACAAACTCATGTTAATCCTCTCATTTTCATACAGAAGGCTGCAATGGGGATCACTTGTTTTGATTTGTTTTGCTGTGTTGTGTTTCATGATGGGCGTAAAGCCGAATAAACATTTTGATTTGATTTGATTTGATCACTTCCTTGGTGTGTCAATTGTACCATGCTTCCATGTGACAGCCCTTCAGATATTTGAAGATGGCTATCGTATCTCCTCTCAGCCTCCTCTTTTCCAGACTAAACATTCTCAACTCCTTCAACAGTTCCTCATCAGGCATGGCTTCCAGACCCTTGACCATCTCAGTCTCCCTCCTCTGCCCACCTTCCAGCTTGTCAACGTCCTTCTTAAATTGTGGTGTCCAGAACTGGACACAGTATTCCAGGTGTGGCCTGACCAGGGCAGAATAGAGCGGGACTATTGCTTCCCTTGATCTGGACACTTGACTTCTGTTGATGCAGCCCAGAATTGCAATAGCTGTTTTGGCTAGAATGATGCATGTTAAAATTATTAATTTGTATTGTGTTGTTCATATTTTAATACTCTGTTGGAAGCCGCCCAGAGTGGCTGGGGAAACCCAGCCAGATGGGCTGGGTATAAATAATAAATTCTATTCTATTGCTTAGTTCTGTACAGAGCTATGTGCATAGATGACACGATATAAATTATTATTATTATTAAGAGAGCTGGGTTTCTATTTTTGTGGTGCCAACATGTTTCCCTCACCCCACAAGTTGTCCACCTGTTATCAGCAAGAAGGAAGTTCTTCAAAGTAGCGAGAGAGAAACCTTCACCTCGTGCAGAGAAAAATCCAGCAATGTTTTTTCTTTCTTTCCATTTTAGAAGACTCCATTCTCCAGGTGTGTAGAAAGTTGCCCTCCGGGACAGAGCAGAAAAGTTCTAGAGGGGAGGCCGGCTTGCTGCTACGAATGTGTCTCTTGCCCAGAAGGGACCTTCTCTAACCAGACAGGTGGGTCCAGCTTAGACACCCAAATCAAAGCGCGGAAGTTGTTTAGACAAGAGTGGCTTGGAGAGAGACAGAAACCTGGGGTGAGGGGAAGAAGAATAATTTAAGGGATAAGGTTTCCAGGAATGTTTGGGTGAATGACGCCATCTCATTGGGTCAATAACACAAAAAGAAACTTCATCGTATGTGCGAAGTTCTGCTTCTTTATACCAGACGCAGTTCACTGCACCAAGTGCCCCGAAGATCAATACCCAAACAAAAAGCAAGACCAGTGTATTTCCAAGAAGACCAGCTTCCTCTCTTACCAAGATATTCTTGGGATGGTTTCAGCTTCTCTGGCTCTCCTGCTGTTCCTCACAACCTCCCTAGTTCTGGCGATCTTCATCCAGCAACGCGACACACCCATTGTCAAAGCCAACAACCGAGACCTCACCTACGTCCTCCTCGCCTCCCTCCAGCTCTGCTCCCTCTGCCCCTTCCTCTTCATCGGCCGTCCCAAGAAGACCATCTGCCTTCTCCGTCAAATGGCTTTCGGCACCGTTTTCTCTGTTGCCGTCTCTTCCGTACTGGCAAAAACCATCACGGTCGTCCTGGCCTTCGTGGCCACCCAGCCGGGAAACGTGGCGAGGAAGGTTTTGCGGAGACGACCGGCCAACTCCATTGTGGTGGCCTGCCCGTTTATCCAAGCCGTTATCTGCGCCGTCTGGCTCGCAACCTCTCCGCCATTCCCAAACCTGGACTTCCATTCCACGCCAGGAGAGATCGTAGCCGAATGCAACGAAGGTTCGGCCGCCATGTTTTACACCGTCCTGAGTTACCTGGCTTTTCTGGCCCTGGTCAGCTTCCTGGTGGCTTTCTTCGCTAGAAAGTTGCCCGATAGTTTCAATGAAGCCAAGTTCATCACCTTCAGCATGTTGGTCTTCTGCAGCGTTTGGGTCTCCTTTGTCCCAACCTACCTGAGCACCAAGGGCAAGTTCACGGTGGCTGTGGAGATCTTCTCCATCTTGGCTTCCGGCGCTGGTCTTCTGAGTTGCGTTTTCTTCCCCAAATGTTACATTATTCTCCTGAGGCCTCACCTCAACAGCAAAGATCATCTAGTTAGGAAAAAGCGTAAGACAATTTAACAGAATTTTTAAGTTAAATTATTCTGTACAGTAAATAAATAAATTCCATTCCGTATCTGGGTTTTTTCTGACTATTGTGCTGCTGTTTATTAGTGTTGTGGTTTTCTTTGAGTTGAGAGGAAGCTGATTGCTGCTATTTGAGTTAAAATAGGGGGGGCCATTTAATACTTACAGCTATATATTCTGTCTTTAAAAAAAGATCTAGCCAAAAAAAGGTAGCTACGTATTTCCATGCTTTGCTAAATGTTCCTTCTTCCTCTCTAATCATTCAGTTTGTTGAAAATAAAATTGAAGAGCCGGGAAAGGCCATTAAAAAAATAAATAAATCAACTCTTTTGTGGTGTTTCAAAAGTGGGGAACTAGGAAAATAAAGCAGCAACAAGAGGGAAACCTTGGGTGCTTTGAGAACAAAGTGCAGGAAATCAGTTTCTGGAAACATTGTAGTAAATTTGTTTTAATCTGTGGCTGATTTGGAAAAAATTGGAAAAATCAAATATATATATATTGTTTGCTGATATCATACGCACACACACACACCCTCCCAACATTTCTCCCCTGAAAATAGGGACGTCCTATTCCATCTCCTCCTTGTTTCCTTGACATCTGATGGGAGGGCGTTCCACAGGATGGGCGCCAGCACCAAGAAGGCCCTCTGTAACCTTACTTCTCGCAGGGAGGGAACCGCCAGAAGGCCCTCGGGAGATGGACCCCGGCGTCCGGGATGGACGATGGGGGTGGAGATGCTCCTCCAGGTCTACTGGGCCATTTAGGTCTTTCAAGGTCAGCACCAACACTTTGAATTGTGCTGGGAAATGTAGGTCTTTCAGGACCGGTGTTATGTGGTCTCCACTCCCAGTCCCCAGTCTGGCTGCTGCATTCTGGATTAGTTGCAGTTTCTGCGTCACCTTCAAAGGTAGCCCCAAGCAGAGCACAAGTTTACTTTACCACCTGCTAACAGGAACAAATTCCATTTGAATGGCCACGTTGTTCCTTGTTAGTCTTCCACCAGACTAAAAATGGGCTCACGCACCTCCATCTGCAACTCTGAAATAAGCATCTGGTGCTATCGATGCACATCTGGTGATGTTGAAACAGGCAGTAGATCTTGTTACAAAATACCGATTTGTTATCTAGAGTCCTGTTAAGAAATCCTTGGGTTTGCGGCAACGCGTCAGCATCTGAAGCATGACTTTATCAAGACTTTTCATAGAATCGGAAGGGACCTCAGGGGTCATCTAGTGTGCCCCCTGAAATGCAGGAACCTGAGCTAAAGCATTCTTGACAGATGACCATCCAACCTCTTCTTTAAGAACTCCAAGGAAGGAGAGTCCACAACCTCTCAAGGGAGCCCGATCCACTGCCGAACAGCTCTTACTCCCATGAAGTTCTTCCTGATGTTTAGTTGGAATCTCCTTTCTTGTGACTTGAAGCCATGGGTTTGAGTCCTGCCCTCCCTCTACCTCTGTTGCCCCGCTACCCCTTTCCTACCTCTGAGACCCCTCTGCCCTTTTCATAGCTCTGTGGCCCCCTTACACCCTTCCTACCTCTGAGACGCCTCTACCCTTTTCATAGCTCTGTGGCCCCCTTACCCCCTTCCTACCTCTGAGACCCCTCTACCCTTTTCATAGCTCTGTGGCTCCTCTTCCCCCTATTCTGCCCCTGAGACCCCTCTACCCTTTTCACAGCTCTGTGGCCCCTCTACCCCTTTTCATAGCTCTGAGACCCCTCTACCCTTTTCCTAGCTCTGTGGCCCCTCTACCCCTATTCTGCCCCTGATACCCCTCTACATTTTCATAGCTCTGTGGTCCCATCTTCCACCTATTCTACCCCTTAGACCCCTCTACCCTTTTCATAGCTCCGTGGTCCCCTCTTCCCCCTATTCTGCCCCTGAGACCCCTCTACCCTTTTCATAGCTCTGTGGCCCCCTTACCCCCTTCCTACCTCTGAGACACCTCTACCCTTTTCCTAGCTCTGTGGCCCCTCCACCCCTATTCTGCCCCTGAGACCCCTCTACATTTTTCATAGCTCTGTGGTCTCATCTTCCCCCTATTCTGCCCCTGAGACCCCTCTACCCTTTTCATAGCTCTGTGGCCCCCTTACCCCCTTCCTACCTCTGAGACACCTCTACCCTTTTCCTAGCTCTGTGGCCCCTCCACCCCTATTCTGCCCCTGAGACCCCTCTACATTTTTCATAGCTCTGTGGTCTCATCTTCCCCCTATTCTACCCCTGAGACCCCTCTACCCTTTTCATAGCTCTGTGGTCCCCTCTTAACCCTATTCTACCCCTGAGACCCCTCTACCCTTTTCATAGCTCTGTGGTCCACTCTTCTCCATATTCTGCCCCTCAGGCACCTCTACCCTTTTCATAGCTCTGTGGCCCCCTTACCCCCTTCCTACCTCTGGGACCCCTCTACCCTTTTCACAGCTCTGTGGCCCCTCTACCCCTATTCTGCCCCTGACACCCCTCTACATTTTTCTTAGCTCTGTGGCCCCTCTTCCCCCTATTCTGCCCCCTGAGACCCCTCTACGCTTTTCACAGCTCTGTGGTCCCCTCTTCCCCCTATTCTGCCCCTGAGACCCCTCTACACTTTTCATAGCTCTGTGGTCCCCCTTCCCCCTATTCTGCCCCCTGAGACCCCTCTACACTTTTCCTAGCTCTGTGGTCCCCCCTTCCCCCTATTCTGCCCCTGAGACCCCTCTAAGTTTTTCACAGCTCTGTGGTCCCCTCTGCCCCCTATTCGGCCACTAAGTGGCCATAGAGCTAGGAGAAGGGTAGAGGGGCCTCGGGGGGGGGCCAGAGTGGCGAGTGGCCATAGAGCTAGGAGACGCGTAGAGGGGCCTCGGGGGGGGGGCAGAGTAGCCATAGAGCTAGGAGAAGGCTAGAGGGGCCTCGGGTGGGGCGGAGTGGCCATAGAGCTATGAGACGCGTAGAGGGGCCTCGGGGGGGGGGCAAAGTAGCCATAGAGCTAGGAGAAGGGTAGAGGGGCCTCGGGGGGGGGGCAGAGAGGCCATAGAGCTAGGATAAGGGTAGAGGGGCCTCGGGTGGGGCGGAGTGGCCATAGAGCTAGGAGACGCGTAGAGGGGCCTCGGGGGGGGGGCAAAGTAGCCATAGAGCTAGGAGAAGGGTAGAGGGGCCTGGGGGGGCAGATTGGCCATAGAGCTAGGTGAAGCCTAGAAGGGCCTCGGGGGGGGGGGGGCAGATTGGCCATAGAGCTAGGATAAGGGTAGAGGGGCCTCGGGTGGGGCAGAGTGGCCATAGAGCTAGGAGACGCGTAGAGGGGCCTCGGGGGGGGGGGGGCAGAGTAGCCATAGAGCTAGGTGAAGGCTAGAGGGGCCTCGGGTGGGGCAGAGTGGCCATAGAGCTAGGAGACGCGAAGAGGGGCCTGGGGGGGGCGGAGTGGCCATAGAGCTAGGAGACGGGTAGAGGGGCCTCGGGGGGGGGGCAGAGTGGCGAGTGGCCATAGAGCTAGGTGAAGGGTAGAGGGGCCTCGGCGGGGGGGCAGAGTGGCCATAGAGCTAGGTGAAGTCTAGAGGGGCCTCGGGGGGGGGGGCGGCAGATTGGCCATAGAGCTAGGAGAAGGGTAGAGGGGCCTGGGGGGGCAGAGTGGCCATAGAGCTAGGAGACGGGTAGAGGGGCCTCGGGGGGGGGGCAGAGTGGGCGAGTGGCCATAGAGCTAGGTGAAGGGTAGAGGGGCCTCGGGGGGGGGCGGAGTGGCCATAGAGCAAGGAGAAGGGTAGAAGGGCCTCGGGGGGGGGACAGAGTGGCGAGTGGCCATAGAGCTAGGTGAAGGGTAGAGGGGCCTCGGCGGGGGGCAGAGTGGCCATAGAGCTAGGTGAAGCCTAGAAGGGCCTCGGGGGGGGGGGCGGCAGATTGGCCATAGAGCTAGGAGACGCGTAGAGGGGCCTGGGGGGGGGGGCAGAGTGGCCATAGAGCTAGGAGAAGGGTAGAGGGGCCTCGGGGGGGGGGGGAGCAGAGTGGCCATAGAGCTAGGTGAAGGGTAGAAGGGCCTCGGGGGGGGGCAGAGTGGCCATAGAGCTAGGTGAAGGGTAGAAGGGCCTGGGGGGGCAGAGTGGCCATAGAGCTAGGAGACTAGTAGAGGGGCCTCGGGGGGGGCAGAGTGGCCATAGAGCTAGGTGAAGGGCCTCGGGGGGGCAGAGTGGCCATAGAGCTAGGTGAAGGGTAGAAGGGCCTCGGGGGGGGGGCAGAGTGGCCATAGAGCTAGGAGAAAGGTAGAGGGGCTTCGGGAGGGGACAGAGTGGCCATAGAGCTAGGAGAAGGGTAGAAGGGCCTCGTGGGGGGGGGCAGAGGAGCCACAGAGCTAGGAAACGGGTAGAGGGGCCTCGGGGGCAGATTAGGGGGAAGGGGGAACCACAGAGCTATGAAAAGTAGAGGGGTCTCAGGGGCAGAATAGGGGTAGTGGGGCCTCAGAGCTATGAAAAGTGTAGAGGGGCCTGAGAGGTAGGAAAGGGTAGAGGAGCAATAGAGCTAGGAAAAGGGTAGAGGGGTTTCAGAGGTGGGAAAGGGGCAGAAGGGCCACAGCGCTCTACCCCTTTCCTACCCCTGAGGCCCTTCTACACTTTCCTACCTCTATCGTCTCTTACGGCCCTTTCCCTACCCAGAACCCATCACTGTAAACCTCTGATTGTGTCTGCGTGCGTGTGTTCCTCTTCCCTTTTCCTATCTCCCACTCCTTCCGTCTCCACCTCTCTTCCCACTCCCTCCTCCCCTCTCTACTGCTCCTCTCCGCCCGGGCCGCTCTAGCCCTCTCCCTCCTCTCTCCCCTTTCCCCCTCCTTCCGGCTTCCCCCTCCTCCCTCGCATCCGGTCTTTTCTTTGTTTTGGTCCGGTCCCTTTTCCCTTCCGGCCTCCTCCCTCTCCCCTCGCCAGAAAGGTTCCGCCTGCTTTCCTTTCCCCGCCTACCCTCAAGACATTTCGCGACGCGCTGCTGCGTGGTGACGCGAGCGCGCGGCCGGGCCCCGGAGCGTGCGCGCGGCCGCGGGGCTGTGGGGAGGCGGAGGCGCGCCAACATGGCGGCGGGGGGCGGCGGCGGCGGCGGCCGGGGG